ATCACTTTAAACTTGATCTGCATAAACATGTTTATTTAATAATTGACTTTTGACGATAGACATCCGGTTATTAGTCTCAATGTATGCATTGTTTTGGGATCCATATAGAATTTTCGCCATGCCTGCAAATATCTCGGCGCCCTAGTCGTGAATGATATTTGTATCATTTTGATATGGTATTTTTCATGATTATTCTATGTTGGAATTTGGCTTAAAGATTGAAAAATTTGGTTAAGTATAAAACATGAAAAGTGAGTTTGTGTCAATTTCGACCAAATATTCGAACTTGATCCAATAATGAAATTATAAATATAAAAAAACTAACTTATTCTACTCATATTGGGAATCTCAAAACTAATTTTGGATGAATGAAAACTTGCGGTCCAAAGTTGGAAAGAAAAAAAAAGAAAAACTGACCGAAAATTTGCCTAACTTCATCGCTCGCCTAACTCTCCAGAGACAGGTGGGCAAAAAAGTTTCTGTTGAATAGGTATGATTGTCGTTCGAGCGAGATGCCAGTGACAGGCTAGCGATAGCAAGGGATGGTTTCTTTCATGAAGATTGCTGAGTTTGGGACGTCATACTTCACTCACAACCTTTGTTCTTCTATAAATAAGACTATTTGGACGTCCATTATGCGTCACATATTATTTGCATTGAGCATTATATTAAAAACTCTTCAAAAATCATTCCAAAATTATTTTCTTGTAGAGAGAAAAAAATTGTTTGAATTCGTTGTTACTTATGGTTTGAAGTGATTCTACCACAAGTTGTATACGTAGTATCTTGGGAGACAAGTATCGTAATCCGTTAGTATCGTTGCGGGCAATTTTGTCTTAAAGAAAAAATGTTAATCACTTGCCTCAAATTTCTTTTCCTTCACTTTCTCTTCATTTCTTTCTTTCTTTTTGCTTCTAGAGTTTAATTAAGCTCCTGAGAATTAAACTTTGTCATTTAAACGAACAACCATTTAACCATACAATTTTTACAACCATCTATACTATACGTGTTCGAGATTCTTGTTGTTTTTTGATTGTTTAAATGTTTGTTTTATGATTATATTGTCCTAGTCCAAGTGGGAGATTATTGGAATATTTTGTGTGGGCTAATAAATTCATATTAGATTTACTCATAAACTTTATATTAAAGCATGTTTGGACTTATACGGATACTGAATGGAAATTTATTTCTAAGTGATGTGAGGCCAATAAACCGGCTACTAATGCATTAGTTGGATCATCAGACAAATGGACCTATAACACATTTAGCCCCTGTTTGTCTACCATTATTACAAAAAATTGTTTGTTACAGTAAGATTTTTCACCACACATTCACCAAATAAAATATTCTACACACAAACCAATAAAATTACTTTACTTTTCAACCACACATTCTCCAAAAAATACTATTCATTACTCTATTTTTCTCCCAATAATGAAAGACAAACACACCCTGAATTGAGGCCCGACATAAGCATAATGCTTATGACCTTTGAGCTCATTTATTTACACATGTTAACACCTGTATTTTGGCACTAATTAAGAATACGAAAGGCCTGAGTAACTGAGTTTTAGGGCAATTAATAGCAGCTATCGGCTGTGTAATTCTGTTGGAATGTTAGGCCTGAGTAACAGATCTTTTACAGAAATTTGAAATTTGTGAATCTTGTCCCTCAATCTGCATTTTCCCTCCTTACTTGATTGAATCCCTTCCCTCCAATTCAAATTCCTGTGTGATTTCTGTGAGTATTTCCTGTACTCATAGCAGGACTCTTATCACCCTCTAGCAATCTATTTTTGTTCTCATTGATGCAGTGAAAGCGGACATGGTACGTGCAGACATGGGTAGGTACATCTTTAGGTTTTATATGCAGCTCATCATATATAAACTTATCAACATAAATGGCTACATGCATGGGCATCATCAATTTGAATTGTTTTAAAATTACAAGGCTGAAAACGGGCATGCGAAAATAAATTCTAAAGCTGAAAATATGATTAGAGAGCAGTAAAGTTTCAAATTGGTTACCAAACAAAGTGAGTTGGTTACAAGAACTGAACTGAACAAAAAGGTTCACTGATTTGGGTACCACTAGTCTGTTGGAAATTTACTTGATTATGCAAAGCGAAAATAAAATAAATTTCAATTCCCACCAAGGATCTGCAATGTGTTTAGATAGAAATTGTGATAAGAATAATACTTTTGATGAATTCTGCAAACTATTTTGCTGATTCTCGAACTCCAATGATCACGATCTGCAATCCAAACTGTCCAATTGTCCAGCCTCCAATGGTGATCCACACAGAGAACAAGAATGACGGCTAGGGTTTTCTTTTCTTGTGCTAACAAGAATACTGAAAAATNAGGCTGACACATCTCTAAATTTAACCCGATCCGATATTTAATTAATCAAATTAATTAAATACGATCCATAAATTAATTAATTCGGGCTGATTAATAAGCAACTCAATTAATTAATTGTCCAACACTTGTCAATTAATTAATTGGTAAATCTCATTCTTCTGGTTCTATTTTGTGTGTGACCCATTAGGTTCCCGATCACGATGTCTAACGGCGTGAAATATTATTTTGATCTAATCGAAATTGAAAAATTAAAACTCCCCTTTTAATTTATGACTTATTCGCATTCGTCGTCTCGGATTGACATCTAGCAATGTTTCAGGGCATTACAGGTGACGGGAAATGTCACGTCGTGTGACAAAACCAAACTTGTTCGTTTACCGTGAAACTATAATCCTTTCGTCAATATGTTCCGATCAATGATGAGATATGGATATGTGTCAATCTCAATTATTGATCATATATTTTATCCTACTGTTAAGTTAATGTAAGTTGAAAACTCTTTTCCGACTTATGAGTTCACATTGGCCATGGATTTCATTATCAACTTAACTGGATAAAATGTAGATCATAATTTCTTACTATCTAAGAGTGACGAATCCTCAATTGATCATTCACAATTTTCATATAATTCTTGACATACCGGAACGATGCTGTATTAGCGACCATTGGCAGAGTAACATCCAACACCATCAAAGTATGACTATCCTCATATCCTTACTATGATGACTTCAAGTCAAAAGACCAATTCCACTACCGAACGTTAGAGATTAACCACTAACACTCAGATAGTTATCCATGTGGAATCTCCCAATGGGTTTCCAATGTTTTGTTCTATAACAAAACATCCACGTGTTCATTCAAGTGTCACCACACTTTAACTTGTGAGATCGGCTACTTACTTCACAAGTAAGAATGCCACAAGCGATGATCTATCCATAATAACGATATCCGTATCTCGTTATTATTTCGACCACAAACGATTTAAGATTCGATTATATGTAATTTGTGTCTCACAATCACAACTCTTTGTGATTAACAAATCACAAAGACTTGAATCTACGGATTCTATTATTTAATTTATTAGAATATTAATTCAATTAAATAATAGATATTGCCATATATATGCATTGATTATATATATTCAAAGTGTTTATGTCCAAAGTTGATTGGACCTAGGGCATAACACTTACAAA